AAATTAGAAATCAAAATTTTGCCTATAAGGATTCACGTGCATTGATAGAGATCTTTGAAAACTAAATAATTTGATTTTTATACTCTTTGAGAGAATATTTAATCAAATATTTTTTTATTTCCTTTAAAGATACACATTAGTTTCTTTCGAGAAGCGATCATCGACTAGAGTAGTTCTTTGAAACAATACTCATATTGAATTCAATAACTACAAAGGTATTAACTGAAATATTGACAAACAATGGGAACATCGTCTTCAATTGTTCTACCATTTTATTGCGTTCATACTCAAACAAAGGATGGTCAAGATCACACATTGTATGCTTCCGAGTTTCTTCGCCATATTAAATTGCTTCGCAAAGTTATTGAGAATCCAGAAATGACGCAAAGAGGAAAACAATTGGATCAAGCTATCGATGATTATTGTACATTCCGTTCTAATTACTATCTATTGGATCGCTTCGACGGAGCAAAATTACCATGGAAATTGAACTGTATTTGGCATGTTCATTGTCTACATCCGATTGCTTATAAAAAAGACGAATACAATGGCTCATTTCATAGACTATATATGGACAGGAAATATAGTCTGGTTAATATGAAACGACAATGTTCTTCGCTTCTACCATGTAATTCGACAAAAAAACAAAAATTTGTTCCTTCCATTGACTTAGCAAGTGCTGTAGTTCGTCAAGCAGATTTTCTTGACAAATTCAAGAAGAATCCTTTCTCTTATATGGACTTAAATTATTTAAGTTATGATAAGTTCGAAAAGATGGTACAAAATTATGTTTCATTTTTGAAATTAGCCGATCAAGAATCATTGATTGTGCCAACATTCGAAATCGATTTGATTTGGCATACACATATGAGAGCAAATCACTCTTACTTAGTAGCTACAGAAGCCCTATGTGGATTTCGTCTCGACCATAATGATGATATCGATAAGGATACCCTAGGCAATGCATATAAGAGAACAGCTGAACGATGGAAAGAAATTTATAAGACGGAATATGGTACAAATATTGACAAAAATCAATTGAGTACATCACAATATGCTAGTAATTGTGCACTTGTATCACGAACAAGATTAGTTATTCAGTCTTCGTTACCTGCCAGTAAAGTAGTAAAGAGTAATGTTTGGAGCAATAATGAAGGCGGTGATGGTGGTGGTGACGATTGTGGTGATGGTGATGGTGATGGTGGTTGCGGTGGTGACGGTGGATGTGGAGGTTGTGGAGGCGATTGATACACAATTTTATTTGCTTATTTAGATCTCGAGACTTTATATTTTACAAAAAGAAAGTTAATACATGTGATGTATTGATCCGAAAGTTTCTCCTCTTCGCTTGTGCACTGTAAGAATTCTTTAGTCACAATATCTGCTTCCCTATCACAATTTATTAACTCTTTTTTCACGTTATTGTGAAGTTTTCTTCAGCGGGTTTTCACATAACTGTAGTTTACGCGCACAGTCTTGCACTAGTTGATGCAAATAAGACATCAATCCATATGATGGTGTATGTAAAGTCTAGATAGATATGTGCAGTTTCATTGAAAACACTAAAATGTGCTGACGATAATTTACCACCAGTGAATCTTCTGTCAGTATGACTATACTGATCACATTTATTGGTGTTTATTGAACGCATCCACTTTGTGAAAATATTCGTTCTGTGTGCTTCTATTCGTATTCACTTCATGAATAGAGTAGCAGGATGAAAGAATCTTTCTTGTCATCAAAGTTTTTAGTCTTAAGGCATGAATGCTGGTTTAGACCTAAGAGCTCTTCTATTAAAATCTCATTTTCTTTTTTTTATCATGACACATTATGTCCAACTGCTTGTTTTGCCCAAGCATTCAAGAAAAATGAAAAACTAGCTATGGTTAAAAATACCTGTAAAATTTCAAATCGATGTAAAGTATTCACTTTGGATTGCAGTGACAATCTAAAGGTCATCTTTTCGTCTAGATTCACTTATGTACAGATTTATACATTTCTGGCAAAAATATACAACTCAACTAGATTCCTCTCGAAAAGATGACAATTCCTTAAATCTATTTCGGGTCGCAAAAGAATTCAAATCATTGCAACCATATAAAATTTTGTTCCTTATATCAATCATTGTCATGTTCTGCAACAAGATCTGTTCATATCTCCGCAAAAAGAAAATTTTCGCGTTTACATCAGAATCGATTAAAAACAAAAGACAGAATTTTAAAGGAAATTTCTAATTTGAATAATATTTCTGTCGAAATAATTTCTCAAATTCGATAAGTTATATGCGAACATTACTTTTTTCGAAAGTTTGAACACTAGTGTCTGCAACATAGATACCTTGCAGTGTTTAGTCGCGAAAGCTATTTGATATCGTAATTTATTCGTAGTTATAAATTTAGTATTTGCAATTTTATTTTTAAAAGGCTGAGTGTGATAGAAGACAAGATATACTTGCAGAGTAAAAGATAACTGACTATGATCAACGATGCGTATATTTTAATTCAAGACAATTAAAAGCAATATTCTCTAGGAAGCGAAGAAATACAATAAATTTTCGTCAAAGAAAACAGTTGTGCATATGTGAATCTGCATTATGAGTCGTATAAAATAACAGAAGAAGGACATAGAATAATTATTCGATGCGAATGTTATAAATTCATTGAAAGTATAACTCCTTTGACTTTGAAATTCAAAGTCTAAAAGTAATCTTATTTGAAAGAGTATCTAATTTGTCTGTGTTTTCCACCTTGCCGAGATTTGCTTGAAAGGCAACCATTTAGAATAATAAATAGTACATATAGCATGCGTATCATCCGATACAGAAATACTTGTGCTCAGTTCAAAAATCATATCTTAAATCCTCATAATTCTTTCATGGTTTTCTATTTCCTTCCAAGTCTGAATGTTGGGTTAACAGTATTGAAAAGTATTTCAGTTTCTGCACATTAGTCACAATCAAAAGGTACACATTATTGTTTTTTATCAAAGGATGATTTTATACAACGATGGAATTTCTCGTGATGATGAATATATTCGAACGTTGTTGCGACTCGTTCATGAAACAAACCCAAACGAATGCGCAGTTGACAGCTATTTTGCCATCGACAAATTCAATTTTTGCTCTGTCAATGATTTGAACAATCGTTTAACTTTTTGGTTCGATGCTTAAGGTTGCTAGTAGAATAAATAAAACCTAAGTCTTTGTTGACCACGGATCTCACTCTTATCGAACTACTCTATGTAACTTATGTGTTTCGTATCATAGTCTATTCATCTGCACTTTAAAGAAAGCGTATTTCATATAGGATTAGCAAGAGCTTTTAATTTTTATCATTTTTCTTTCTGCTATTGATAATTTTACGTTTTTTTCTCGAACTGAAGAGAAATATCATCTACGTGCAGTTTCAATTATCAAGCGATCGTTCTTATATTCATCTGAATAAATTAAAAAAAATAGTAGTCATCAATGGAACAAAACAAAACATGAAGTCTTCTAAACTTACTCTGAGCTGGATCGTTTCTTCATATGCACTCAGCTCTGATGTCGCAATTTTTCATTCTTATCAGCTATTCTACTTTGCTAGAAAAAATAGAAGACTCTGTAGTATTCTAATCATACACACGAAAAATACCATCTTTATCGTAGCGCACGGAACTTCAATTTGGAAAAGAAAAAAATATTTCAGAGCGGGATGATGGTCCCATTTTTTTAACAATATTCATCATCGTTTACATTAAAATCGAACTCTTTTTTCTAACATTTTCATTTGTAATTTTTTATATTTAAGTAAACCATTTAAATGTAGATATTTTAATAAAATTTGAAAATCCTAGTTTTATATCAGCTCGTTTGCATTGTCTCTTATCCTGATATAATAGTTCGTGTTGTTGTACGTTAGGTTGTTGGCGACAAATAATTTTTTGAACTCATTTTATAGCTACAATGTGGATGGGTTGTGCTTGTGGGCACCTAGGAATAGAAGATTGTCACCCAAACTGATATCCTCAAACCTATACTCAACACCCACATTCACACTTACAGAAAAGCTCTCTCAACTCGTTTTTTAGATAGTTTTCCGAATTCTATTAAGTTTGAGTAAATAGCATCAGCGTTCTTTGTCATCAATTTTTGATTTTTCGATGACTTTTGGTGGATTAGTGCGTCTTATCTAGTATCTTTATTTGAGAGAGAAATGCGACATCTGTTTTGAGAATGTCACCATTTGGTGATTTTTCTCACTATTTGATGCTGGTTATTTGAAAGATATTTCGTTTAGAAGCATCAGATATGATCGAACAGTGGTATATTCTACTTTTTCTGACAACAAGAGTCTCTACCATCAGCTTTCTGCTGCTCAACCTGTATATTATGGTGCAGAAAGTTTACCTCTTGGCACACAAAGCCCCTATGGTACACTTCGTCTTAGTTCTGATACGAGTGATACACTCGATCCTCCAATTAAATTTGAACATTATGGCGGTTATCAATATTCAGATACACATATAAACGTTTTCTCACATAGACATACGTTCGGTGCCGGCCTTCAAGACAATGGTGAAATGGGTATCTTTCCTGTTCAAGTCGATAGTGATAACCATCTACAACATCTGATTCAACTAGAAATGGCTATTGAAGTGCATTTACACATGAACGTGAACGAATCGAGCCTGACTTCCATCAAGTCTATCTTGACACCCATAGAATCAATGTTGAATTAACTGCTACTAAGCAAGTCGATATTCATCGATATTCATTTGATAATATCAAGAAAAAACATCGTATTATTCTCATTGATAGTAGTTATACACTACCACTAGCAGCTTGTAATCGGAGTCATGTGCATATTGATTCGGAAAAGAATGAAATAACTGGTTCGATCTTTTTCGAAGGAAATTTTTCTAGAAGTTTTGGTGGTATGACAACATATTTTATTATTACATTTACTAATTGAACAGACTTTGGTGTTTTGACAAACGGTCGTCTAGCACATGGATAAACAATGATTGATGGATGTTCATCTGGTGCCTATGTCATTTTACCTGTCGATCAACAACAAGCTACAGTCTATGTAGCTTTGAGTTTCATTTCAATTGAACAAGCACGAACGAATTTACAAATGCAAACTCAATTAAAATCATTCGATTCTATTCATAAATTTGTACAATAAAATTGGCTCAATGAAATATCTAGTTTTGAAGTATGTTCAATGTCTTAGTAAGAAAAAAAGAAATATTTAAAAAGTTGCGAAACTTTTTAGGTCAGCGCTGAATGGAATCATGAAGCTGTAATCAAATTCAATGCTGCGATTGTTCATTTATTGTCGAGTCCGACTCAATGGGACGAGTCAAATGGCGTCTATTTAGGTTTCGATGATCAAATATATACTAAACCTGATAATATGAAACATATTTGTACAGATTTATCAATATGGGATGCTCACCGAACACAAATATCTTTTATTCTTTTTCATGATTCACAACGAGCCAATGATATTATTCGTTCAATTATGCTCATTGTTGAACAAGGTGGTGATATACCAAAATGACCATTCGCCAATGGATATACGAATTGTATGATCGGTTCACATGCTGATATTTTAATAAGTGATTTAATCCTGAAACATGAGCATAATATTTATCTCAATATGACTCAAGTTATCGAAGCATTAAGAAAAGTAGCTAATAAAGTACAAACACATGATAGCCGTTTTGATCCACCGACCTATATCAAATATCAATATGTGTCATATGAAATGGATCATGACTCGGCATCACTTACGCTTAATTATGCTTACGATGATTGAGCCATTGGCAATGTCATGTATGCTGCTGGGCTTGTTGATGAAGCTCAAGGATACTATAATCGATCACGATAGTTTGAACATGTATTCGATAAGCAAACAAAATTTTTCTGTGCTCGAAAAAGTACCGGCGACTTTTTTTGTCCATCAAATAAAATCGAACAACTTAATCCATTTGACAATCGTTATGGTGAAGGCAATGCGTGGCACTATCGCCTTTTTGTATCACATAATACGCCACGCCTCATTGAACTATTCGATAGTCCAGAAACATTTGTTCAAGAACTTGATACTTTTTTTTGTACGTAGCAGAAAATGGCCATCAACAGTATTACCTAACCCTTATTAATGGCCAGGAAATAACCATGATCTTTTTTCTGTTTGGCAATTCAACTATGCCAATCAATCTGATCTTACTCAAAAACACTCACGTTGGATACTTGATCACGCTTACACGATAAAACCTAATGGATTGCCAGGTAACGATGATTATGGAACACTTTCAGCATGGTATCTCTTTGCAAGTATGGGTTTCTATCCTCTTACTGGTTCATCTATTTATCTACTTGGAAGTCCGTCTTTCGATCGTGTTACAATTCATCGTAATGATGGTCAATGTACATTAACTATCATTGCTCATAATAATTCACCTGAAAATATTTATGTTCAACGTGTACTACTCAACGGAGAAGCTTTATCAATATTTCCATTAATTGATCATGTCAGTCATCTTAAATGTTCAACTAAATCACCATCAGTTCAGCTTGACTTTTTTATGTCATCTACACCATCATAAATTGGACAACTGAATTAACCGATCTCTAAATTAACATTGCTTCTTTACATTCACGAGAAATAGATACATCTATTGCATATTTGAACTTTATTTTCATTCGAAGAAACACATCTATTGAAGTTGAGGGCAACTGAAAGCAAAACCTTCATCTAGCTCACTCATCATGCATTACATACTAAAGCTTGATTCCTAATGAGTACTTGAAAATAAAACTATTCGAAGAAGAAAAAGGAACGTAATAAATTGCTCTGTTATCCGCGTTGTCAACAAATTGAAAACAGTGTGGCACATGTAGAAGGAGTGAATGCTTAAGAAAATGAGGGTGCGGGTATGAGCGACGTGACAGATCGAAGATTCACGTCCACTCACAATTGCATTCACTTGCATTTACACCCACTCACACCAAAAATCAAGATGACATGAAGAATTCAATCACTTAAAACCGAAAATGAGACTTTTTCCATTGCTACGCTGATGCACAGTTTTATTACAAGTAAAAAAGTAGAAAATATTATGCTATATTGGAACGCTCATGAAACAGTTAAGATGATAACATGGCACGATTCGATAAGTATTATAGTGAAAATTATTAGTGTGACCATAGTTTCTGAATCAAAAGATATTGTTCATCACAGAGTAAACTTTGGTTTATGCGACTGAGTTTATTATAAATTGTGACTAATTCATCACAAACACACATTATGTTTGACTGAATTTTTTTTAGTGTTGACGTCAAACCTGGATTTATTAGTTGTCTTGTTTGCAGTAAGATTGATTACTTAAGATTAGTAAAGAGAGCTGTGAATATAATATTAAAAGAAAAAAGAATATTTAATAGGTGAAATAAAATAATCTTTACATAAACTCTCTCATATATAGTCAATATAGTTCTTGATTTCAAGTTTAGATAAAAATATCTCAGTTTGAAGTGATTTTGTCCAATAAATGCATTTTTTGTTGGCCAAAAACCTACATTGATCATAATTGATTTTTATGCTGAAAGGATGAATTATTTAATTGAAATCTTATTTAATCAGTATATAATTTTCGAGTCAAAAAAAAAATTTCACCATACGTATCTATTGACGTTAATGATATTCAAAATCCTATGACATATTTATAATTAACAAAACACGGAGACATAATGTGACTAGGCATAACAAATAGTATTCCATGTTATTGACACGTAGCTTAGCATTATTTGTTCCTATTAACAAAGTGTTTTGAAAAAAAAACTATGCCATTGCCTATTTCTTTTTGTTCAGTAAAAGAGTTATCACCTTCCTCTTTACATCGTTGTTTTTATAATATTTTTCTTTCCACTCTTATTATTTACTCCCTAACTACTTCTCTTTCTCTGCATATTTGTTCTTTTTCTAAGACAATATTGTTTTGTATATATATATATTTATACGTGTGCACTTGCTATATCATTCATTACAGTTTGCTGTAATTGAAAACCGAATACAGAATAGTGGCGTATTCAGAGGAATGCTAGAGGACCTCAATCTGCTACAACAAGTTAAATCTTATGGAAAAAATGAATTTAACCTCCTCTACGTAGATTTTTTTCTGGCTACGCCACTAATACAGAAGTAAGTCAAACGCGCTCGCTTTTCAATTGAAATAGTTTTTTTTTTATTTCATCCATCTAAAAGTGACCGAAATAATCGATTACTAGCTTCTATTTCAGATACATTGAAGTTGAATGATTAGCAATATAAATCCAATGTTTCTTGTTAAACATCTAATTTTGTTTCTCTTCCTTAAGTTGGTGATTGCATTACCTCAAATTAATCTTTATCTTACCGATAGGATAGATGAAAATACTGATAATATTGTCCAACAACATGATTGCCTTTATTTTGATTTAAGCAAAGATCAATGGTCTCGTGACATCATACCTTATTGTATGAGTGAATCGACATCAAAATGGTCTATTGTAAAAACTAATGTTAATGCACTCTTTACTTTTGCTGAACTCAGTCGACGAAATATTACAAGTAAACAATTACATCAATGGTCAGCACCGATAGATACTAGTGAACGTTATCAACTGTATCTGTATCAACTTTCAATTGGAAATGTATTATCAGAGATGGGAACAGAAATATTTTACAATTGTACATTACCAGCATTTGGTCCACAGTGTCAATATCGATTGGATTTTAATATTTCTGATTCAACATTAAATGAACTTATTCATGTTTACTATCGTCAGCATGCTTATGCACTAGAACCATTGACATGTTATACTCATTTACAATGTAATCGTGGCCCTTTTCCCATATGTGTAGATTGGAGTGAAATATGTGATGGAAAATTCGATTGTACTGATGGTGTTGATGAAGAAAATTGTTGGCCACTTATAAGTAATAAATGCACAGATGATGAATATCGATGTGATAATGGTCAATGTATACATCCAAGATTCGTGAATATTGGTGCCAGTTTCGAATGTCTTGATCGATCTGATCAATATGCTTCTTTATCAACGAGTTCGTTTTATAATGAATCTCGTGCACCAACATTAACAAATGAAGATATTGTCTGTTCATGGCGTGAACATGATATGAACAAATTTATGCATCCTTTTACAAGTTCATGTAGATATCAACGTAATGAAAGAATCGAACAAGCAATGTTTTCCGATGTATCAGATCCAGCCATAAGTCATGATTGTCTTTTGGCATTCAAATGTCATTCTAAAATTCCAACCGATAACAATCCAGTTTGCTCGAATTTCTGTCAAAATGAAACGTGTATCGAAATTATAAAAAATACTTGTCCAAATATATTATATTATCCAACAGTCCCGATCGCTTTTGGTCATATCTACTTTGCTTATACAATCAAATACGCTATAAATTGGACAGATATAGGACAAATTCCACCTGAATATATATGTTATAATGAACAACTATGTGGAGGATTTGATTCAAATGTAACCTTTTTGTTCTTCAGAGGAACTACATGTCGTCGTCCGAAAGATTTTCCAATATCGGTTCATTTCAATGGAATAGATTGGTATTCTAGTTATATCCAGCTAGTATACTCACAACTTGGTCATTGTAATAGCATAGTGCATAATAGTTTAGTTTGTGACAGTTCAATTATGTATCAATGTAAAAATTCATCGAAATGTATTCCAAATTCTTATGTTGGTGATGGTATTCGAGATTGTGATTATAAAGATGATGAAGAACAAAGTACGATCGATGAAGTTTGTTTGACAGATCAAACTAACACCTTTTTCAAATGTCAAACAAACAATAAATGTATTCGCCGAAATCAAGTTGAAAATCACATTTGTGATTGTAACATAGATGAATACGGTATGTGCGATGATGAAGATCTACAATTAAATAAAAAAAGACGACAAATTACGTTTTCAACGATTTGTGATCGTTCGATCGATCTTTTACCAATTACGATTAATGGACAAAATCATACAGATGAAACCAATTGTGAACAATGGCCATGCAATAATACATATACACGATGTGATGATTTTTGGAGTTGTCTTGATGGAGCTGATGAAGTCGATTGTGATCCAACACCATTAATCAAATGTCCATCTTATCATCATATATGTGTTTCACCGAATACAAATGAATGGATATGTTTGCCTATTGAAAAAGCCAATGATGGTACTATTGATTGTTTAGGCGGTATCGACGAACCAACATTATGTCCAATAAAAAATCGTCCTAAGGAATCAAGAAAATTTTACTGCAAAAATGGTGACTCTGATATATGCTTATCGATGGAGTATGTTTGTGATGGAATAAAACACTGTGAAAATGGTGATGATGAACAGTTTTGTAACTCAACCATGAAAGACTTCTTTCGAAATGATCCAGATAATTCAAAGACTAAAACAATATCGGACGCAAATGTCTACGACACTATTAAATCAAAACCAACAGATGTCCAGTTAAAGAAATCG